GACTGCCACGGCTGTCTGACACGAACTGGAGACTCGGCAGTTGGTAGGGGGGTCCTCGGCGATGCTAACTGAACTACCAGAGGCAAACTAGCGCTATCTAATAGCGCCTTCAAAAGTTATAGCGATGACTCACTTTCGGCCGGACACAAAAGACCCCCGTTTTCAGACGGAGGAATAATTATACAGTATAAAAAAGTCCCGGATCCCTTAAATATCTTGGAAAGTAAGCATTTTTTAAAGTAATGTTTCATACAAAAGTTGTGGGGTTTAAAATGATCCATGCACTGATCTCATCAGTATTGAGTGGTGTTGTCAAGGTCACATCGATTTTTTCAAACGAAACGCTATTTTTGGTTCCAGAATCTAGTAGTTGGTGTCAACAGCTTTTCAATACACTACAATAAAGTTATTTTTTATTAAGTACTTTTTGAATTATGAGGGTTTAAGCGTCGTTTACAATAAACAGTAGCAGTAGACACATTGGAAGTATGCTGATTTTCCGGTCCAGCCAGAAATGGTTGGCCGATCAACATCAAATTGATGCTGATTGAACGTCGCCCGACGTCAAATCAATATTAATTCAACGTTGATTGATATTAATTCGTCGATGTTAATTTTATGTTGATCGATCAATCACTTGTAGCTGAGAATGTGATAGGACATCAAATCGATATTAATTCGTCGATGTTAATTCATCGTCGATCGATATTAATTCGTCGATGTTAATTCCATGTTAATCGGTCAATAACTTGTAGAGAATGTAATAGGACGTAGAGTAAGTTCGTAAACGAAATAGATTTTAACCATTTCACTTACGGACTTACTCTACGCTCTATTACATCCTCAGCTATAAGTGATTGATCGATCAATATCGAATTAACGTCGATCGATGTTGAATTAACATCGATTTGACGTCAAGCGACGTTGAATCAGCATCGATTTGACGTTGATCGACCAATCATTTCTGGCTGGGTCGGAAAATCAGCTTATTTCCTACGTGTCTACAGCCTCTACTGCTACTGTTCATTGTAGACGATGCTTTAAAGTTACAGTACTATCAGTATTAGCATTACCCTAACCTAAGGTGTATCGTATGGAGGTTGTCAGATTCTCTGTCTCTCTCTTTCTCCCCCCCCCCTCTCTCTCTCTTTGTCTCTTTCCTTCCTACCTTTATGAAGGGTTAAAAGGAGGAAGAGAGAGGGTGGAATGTATACGTGCGCGTATGCGAGAGAAAAGGGGGAAAGAGGGAAGGAGAGGGAGGAAGAGTATAAAAGTCAAACTAATCAGATCAGTAAATAGATTTTAAATCCTACAACTTTTATATAAAACTTTTCCTTCAGGAATGCTTATTTTTCGAGATACTTTAATGGTTTCGGACTTTTTGTACACTGTATATATTTATACAATGGATTATACACGTTATTACGTATATTTGTACATAATATTATATACTTTACATGATTATATATGACAAATTTTTTACCGGGAAAAAGAGTTCGGCGTGCGGTTTGCAGAATGAATGCCATGTTTATTGTTTGGTATCGTGTATACTGTAAGTCAGAGCCTTCCAAGTCGGGCACTGCGGGCCCTTAATCCCTTTGCCTCTTGCCCGCTCGTGCTTGTCCCCCACCATGGGTCCAACGCTTCTTCTCTATTTGTGGCTGTGCACCGGTGCGGTGACGCGGCGTATCATTTCATGGCTGTGTTCCAAATTTACTGCCAACACTGAAAATGCTACAGTTCACGTTATGTGCACTATAGATTTTCAGTACTGGCAGTCAATTTTGGAACAACTCGTGTACCGTATAGCAGTCAGGAGCGGTTTTATTGAAATATAGATACGTATACCGAGAAAGAGAGAGACAAAAGCAAAACAAGCCATATTTATGACTTATTTTATTTTCGTTTGGGATCTATTAATCCTAAGAGTTATATTTGCATACTTGCATACTTGCTTGCGACGACTAAACGCGTGTGGCGGGAAGATTGGAAGGTAACGTTGGAGAGAGTAAAATTAAGAGGGGCCTACTTACCGTTGAAATCTTGGTGGGGACACGATGACCATTTGGAAGGCTTTGTTGTGTTTATTGTTTAGTATCTTGTATACTGTAAGTAAGATAACTAAGTAAATTCCCACGTTTGACATATGTCAAATGATATTAATAACGACAACGATCTAGTGCGAAATCAGTTCTCAGTCTTTTAAATATTGCCATCTGTTATCAAAAATATGAAAAGGAAAACACATTCCAAGAAACGATGACGTATTTTAATATGTGAAAATTTGACATGTCTTTGTATCACAATATTTCTGCTCGTAGAGGAATAAAAACACTTGTATTATGCAATTGGAACATAAGCTATCGATTAGGCCTATCCAAAACTAGTGCCTAAATTCTAAGCAGAAAATCGTAAGGCTCGTAATATATTTCTGTAAGACTTATAAGAATTTTTAAGTACTTATATCTTTATACAATGTTTTTACAGACAGCTTCTTATTAGCCATAACATTTACAAGAAATCGAAAATATTTACGAATAATCGTACGTCTTACGATACATACGCATAAAATTAGAATACTAGTCATAAGTTCTTACAAGTTTTACGAGAACACGTTACGAGTATTACGATTCTGCTAAGAATTGACCCATAGATTTATTTCAGGCGTTATTGAGATTTGATAATCTTGGATATTGGCAAGTCACCGGCTCGTGTAAAGAGACTCAGGCGGTCTCGCGCTGCACGTGCACTTGGCGCGAGATACTACCGTGTCTCTTATTTAAAATTTTTTTTAATTTTCAGTATATTCATATTTTTATATATTAAACATAAATTCGTTCTTATTATATTTAATAGTTGTTTTTGTTGAAAATTCAAATCTATTTGCCTATTAGAACACGTTATAAAATTTTGAACTTCATTATAAATTTGTTAAAAAATTGATGATAAAAAAAAGAATGTATTTACTAGTTAGAGATGTGCGATTTTGCATAAATATCGATTTTTTTCTTAAATGGCAGCGACATATAACTGGCTTCTTAATCGCGAATGTAATTTAAAATCACGCCTGCGATTTATATGGTATTCTGTGCTTTAAATCCTTTAAGCCATTCAAACAATTCGATTAACGTGCAGTAAAAAACATAATTTGCTATTTCGTGAAGGATTTTTTCTTTAAAAGCGTATTTATTAGGGATTTTTAATGCTCTTACACAGAAAAATATGCTTTCGTTTTTGCTACGTTCTAACAATTGATATTATTTATTATTTGACTGTCATTGCTCTGAATTTTTAATGCGACAAAAATGGGCAATTGATAAAATCAGGAGACATGGCAGTGTTTCGGTGTATAGTATACACATATAAATATTGTGATATAATGTATATTGCGTTCACTGCGATGCACAATTTTGAAAATCGCACATCCTTTTATTAGCATTATTTGTAAATGAGTTTACTTTTCAAATTTTAAACAATTAACATTTTTGATAAATATTCACATAAAGTCAACCTCTTCAAAAATCAATATTTATCTGGATATATTTTTCATGAATAACTTTTTAATAAATAATGAATGAAAAGGGGAGGGGGTCTTTTGATTGTTATTCAGGATCATGACTTTGACATATGTTGTCATGATTATGACCCTGAGTAACAATCAAAAGGTCTTAAACATCAGGTTGTTTATTAAAAAATTATTCATAAAAAATATGATCACACAGCGAACATTTTTTAAATTTATTTTTTATAATATACAATATTTTATATAATAAATTTTTGAATGAAGAGGACCAGTTTCTTATCAAAATTATAATCCTGAGTGATCTTCAACAGGTTGTAGCCGTTGTTCGCTGTTCATTAAAGCATTATTAAGAACTACTTCACACTCCCTCCCCTGCTAACGTAATGATTTTCCACGCGAAGCAAAGATCTACCTTTTTTTATACCTATTGCGCAATGAACGATGAGCGACGAGCCATATTCAATGAGAGCTGTTTTATATCATCACGTAAGAAAAAAACAGAGTTTTTATTGCATATCGCTTGTCGCTCATTGCTCATCGCGTCCAGTAACCATTACACGGCATAACGACTTTCTAGACAAGGGTATAGGATGGACCTCGCTTCGCGCGGAAAATCGTATGCCCCTAGATAGAGAGGAATGTGGTGTGGATATTGCTTCACATAGAAAATCAGACGACCATAGACAGAAGGAGGTGTGGTTGGCCTCGCTTCGCGTGGACAGTCATTATGCAAGGAGGGGAAGGTGTGAAATAGTTCGTAACATTGTAGCAGAAATAAGAAAACGTTATTTCTTAAATTTTTTGTTAATAACTTTTTGATGAATAATGAGTAATGGCTACTAAACTTGTGTTGGAGGTCACTCAGGGTCATGATTTTGACAATAAATGTTAAGGTCTTTGACTTTTGAAGGGGTTGACTTAATATGAATATCTACCACATTTTTTATTCTTTATACAATTCTTTAAAAATATATTCATATATTTAAGTAAATTTTATGAAAAATAACATTTAAATATTGAAATTATGATTTAAAGTTAATACTTATTTTATTTATTCGATTTTGTGGATAGAGTTCCGAAATGGTGAACCTTTCGATTTTCTTGTCGATTGACATACTACTGTATTTTTGATGTTTTGATTATGAATATGATAATAAAAATTACGGATAAGGTCATTTTCAAGGTCAAATATTAAAAAAAAGATTGTTTTTCACATTTTTTCGTGCGTTTCGCGTGGAAGTCGTGCGCCCCTAAGCAGAGGGGGGGGG